CGTTTAAACGTAATTCGACTGATTTATTTTTTGCCATCCGCGCGCGATCACGATGCAATTATTCTGCTGCTGCTGCTACGAGAAAGGTCAATAAAAAGTAAACAAAGCTTCTCTTCTCATTTACCGATATTGCATAAAGTAGTACAGTATCCGCGCATCTCTGGCTCTGGCAACACAGATCTCTCTCTCTCTCTCTCTCTTGGCAAAGTTTTTGAGACTTAAATACTTTACATTTCACTTAAGCTGCTCTCGCTCTCTTATGCCTGGAGCTCTAACAAACTCTCCGCCGCATTTTGCGCATCTCAGTCGCCAAAAGCTTCTTCCAAAGCTCTCGTTCTCTCTCTCTCCCTCTCTCTTTCTTTTATCTTTTAAACACTGTCTACGCTCTTGACTTTCTTAACAAATCTTTCGCACGCACGCGAATTTTTTTTCTGTAACTTTATCGAATTTTTACAAAACTTTTTCCACGTTTCCCCCGTAAATAAAGTCCTCAATTATTTTTTTCTTCTTCTTAACAAGGTACCATGGCGGAGTTGCCTTATACACTCATTAAAAGGTTAACTTTCCTCTCTGTCTCTCTTCAAGCACATAACCCTAATCTAATTTCGAAAAGGCGGTTACTTTGGTTTATTGTTTTAATTTTAATCATCATATTTTCTGCCTTTTTCTTTGGGCGCAAACGGCACAAAAGTAGGCGAAGAGGGCATACATAATTGAGTATACCACGGTGGCTCGAGTAAAAGCTCGACTCGAAGCTTATTATTACGTTCGAAGCAACGAGTAGCCCCGCGTATTACAAGGAGTCGTCGTCGTTGCAGTTGCCGTGTATCGACCGTTTCGAATCGATAAGCTCGGGGAAAGAAAAAAGAAAAAAATAACAATGGAAACGTCCTCGAACGAAACATCTCGGCGGTAGCAGCGACGCACACAGAGCCCTCGGAATCGGCCATCAAAAAACAATTTGCAGAATGCCACACAGCAGAGCAGAGTATATAGGCGAGGCTCTCACACTGGTGTTGGTGGTGCTGGTGGCGGTAATCTATCAAGATGTCCGAGAGATGGTAGCTCGTCGTCGTCGTCGTTGGGCTGCTCTCGCGTTAATCAGTAATTAATCAATTAGTCTCGAGTCGAGAGAACCGCGTTCCGCAATTTTGCTAATCACGAAGTACTGCATTAACAGCAGTGACACTAGCACCTGTGCTTGCCCCCTGCCCCCGAACGAGCCAACGAACGAGTGGTGCGCTGCACTGCAGCAGCAACAGCGGCAGCGGCTTCAATTATACGTCCGATAGTCATTCCATAGTAATTACCATTGTACGTATCGGGGGCTGAGTTTCGACTTTCTGCTCGCTGTACTCCCCCGTTCGATGCCGCTGCGCGCTGACCTGTCGACGCAAGCACACGCAACATATGTGCGTATAATTACTCGTTTGTTGTTGCTGCATGCATGGCTCGGAGGCGACGTATACATAGCTGCATCAAGCCCGGCCAGCTCACGCTCGGATGCTGCCTGGCGCTGCTTTATTTCGCTAGCTCGTCATTTTAATTAGATCGGTCGAGATTGAAATTTAATTGATGCTACGTATTGTTTTTGCCTCCCTCTCTCCCTGCCTACCTCATTCAGAGGAAGAGAAGAAAGATTTCGCTGCGCAAGGACATTCTATATTTTACACGCAACGCAGCCGATCGGGCGAGGCTCGATTAGTATCGGAAAATGTAATATTCATAATGTATAGCGGGGCTTCGACGATAATACAACGCAACGCGCACCGAGCATGCTGTATATGGCCTACAGTCGCCGACGTACACACGCGCAATTCGCTCAATTCAATATCATTATCGGAAACGCTGCAGAGCCGGGAGTTGGTCGATTTTGCATCCTATATACATGTAGTAGTAGGGCCTCTTTGCAAGCGTCAGAAGCCGGAGCTTTTGATATACATTTACCCAAATTCCCGTGTATTATTTCGGCACAAACAACGAGAGAAACATCGCGTCGCGTTGGCTTAATGAAAGAGGTGCAGGCGGGGTAAAATTCGACTGTTATACACCACTGTATCCCCGAATCGAGCAGCTCGGCGCGCCGTGATTGCGGTGTCATACGTCACGCGCGCTGCGAATCTCGCGCGAAGCTTCGCTCCATGGGCCCCCTCCCAACCTGCGGCGCCAGAGAGCTTATACGACACGTGACTCCTTCCGGCCGATTACGCACTTTTGCCTCTCTGTGTGTCGCTGCTCGAAAAGCGATTCTCCCCCTCGTTCGCTTGCCGCTGCTGCGTTACTGCAGGACTTAGATAAAGGCGCGCGAGCGAGCCCGAATCAAAGCCATCGGAGTGTGTGACTTTCGTTCGAATTATAACACAAGCGCACACACAGACACATATGACTCTGCTGCTCAAGGGTGCTGCTGCGGGTGGTGTAGCGTGTGCGACAACGACACTCTTTTTTCTCTCTCTCTCTCTCTCTGGCGTACGTTCGAAACCGCAAACCTATGCCGAAAATCGCTTCTCTCTTTATGCGAGCGACTCTGAAAATCAAGAGTTGTATGCAATACGTGTGTAAAATCGGTTTATATACGCGCTACACACAACGAGGCGAATTTTCTGCCGTCGTTTGCACTCTCTCTTCTCATGCGTTATGCGTGAGTCGTGTGCTTTTTAGCTCTTCTATTCGGACAACTTTTTAGATATATCCAGGCGGTGTGCGTTAGTCGAGGCTTAGGATTACGCGCGGTACGTGGTGAAATTGATTAATTGTTGCCGCGCACGTACGTATATACGCTTTCGACGCGCGAAAGAGAAACAACAAACAAGAGGCGCGCACTGCAACAAAAAAAGCTCTCGCGCCTATATAATTTTTTTTATCGACTAATTGAACAAAAATCACCGAGAGAGAGAGAGCAAATCCCTCTCGCACTGCACACACGTTATACGTATATATAGCTTAAAAACAAAAACGTGGACCGAGGTGCAGTCGCGCACGCTCGAGCAATTAGCGGCGGACTGGTCCGATCGATTCCATTATGGTGCAGCAGCAGCAGCAGTCGACACAAAGAGAGAGTCGTGCTCGTTATACTCGATCGAACTTATTGCAAAATAATAGCTGCGCGTCGTCGTCGTCGTCGTGTATTTTGTCCCGCGAATAACAACTGGACAGGCCACCGGTCCACATTTGCGCGATATTATATTCAAGCAGCGTATCTCGCGAGGGGCGAGCGCGTATAAACGTTCGTACATATAACGCATGCGGAATCAAGCCTCGCCCGCTGTAGACGCGTAATATAAACAGACGCACGTGTGTTCGTTTCTCGTTTTGCTGCTCGCCCAAACGGCGACGCGACGATTTTATCGATCGCCGATGCATTTTGCTTTCGTCGAGTCAAGTATAGAGCTTTTTTGGCCTGCCGGGTGCGTCTATACATAGCCACCACCGCGAGCGATCGATCGGCTTATATTATATTATACGCTGCATTATAGCCTCTATATATATTATATACCTCCCCGTTTAAACTGGACTATCTATAGAGCTGGGCGAAGAGATAAGCAGCAGTAGCGCGCGATTGACCTTGTGAGCTGCCCAGTCATTATCAGACTCGGCCGATCGCTTATTTCGGCGCGCGCGCTAAATTCAGGAGGAGCAGCGCATCTTTTTGCCCCGCAGCAGTATATATAATTGCCAACCTCAAAAGTTCGTGGGTGGTACGGGCCGCCGCGCCGCGTCGAGGTCGAATAATTTTCTCTCTTTATACGTGGGTTAGAGGTATACACATAGAGGAGTAACAAACGAGAAACTAATTACGAGACTGACGTGTGGGCGGAAGTGCCTCCTCCTCGGCTCTACGTGTGCATTGTTGAAAATGTCTTTCATCAAACTTGGCCGCGTCCATTTCTATTGTTCGGGCGCTCGCTGTTCTTAAGAGTCAAAGTTTGCCCCGCGCGAGCGAGCGATAAGACGTTCTGCCCGCACGTCGACGACGACGCAGAACCGCACCAGCCAACTTGATATCAGCACGCTCGAGCGCAAATGCCTGGCCAATCTTGTGTTTCTCTCTCTCTGTCTGCTGACTATAATCCACCTGACTGCTCGACGGCGAAGCTCGACTCTCTCTCTCACGCTTCGGTCAACGAGGAGCTCCGCTTCTTATCTCTTCATTATAACGCTCTCTCTCGAAGGCGTCAAATTTTTCGCGCGACTACGTGTATAATGTGAGAAGAGGCAACGAAAAAAAAAACAGAATTCGATATAATTTCGGGTGAGTCAGCTTGACAGGCAACTGAACGCATCCAGCACGTGTCCAACGGAGATTAAATCGCGCGGCGTGTACAATTGCGCATTATCTGCAGCGCGCTACACTTTTGCGCATCTAGTAGTAGCAGTCAGCTCGCAGCTGGTATAATATGTGTGTTTCCCTATATACAGACTCGTCATCTTGCGGTTGAAGTTTCGAATGCAGCAGCGGCAGCAGCGCACCCAACGAACGAACGCATATAACACCCGCTCCCGGCTATATGTGCAGTAGCAGCAACCCTCGCTCGCTATATGTACCAGTAGCAGTGCATGTGCTTACGCGAAAACACACAAATTATACTCGTGGCTAGCAAATTTGACGTGTGTACACGTGCGAATTGTAGGCGCATGTTGAATTAGGCCGTGTAAACACGTTTTCCGTCTCGCTCTCCGCGAGGCTAGTTGAATTTTAGAACAATACTCGTTCTCTCTTTGTTTGAATTTGTTTGAAGCGTATACATATAAAGTCGCACTTTATACATTAGTCTAGAGGCGTGCATACATATGTGCGTGTAACTGCTTTCTCGTCGTTGGCCTGCGTCGGAAATATATAATCATAACACCAATAATAGTTTTAACGATAACGACAAGGAGTGTAAAAGTTATATTGGTATACCGTTGCGGCGAACACACAGTCCAACTTGGTTACAGTATTCGCGCTCGTAGATGCGTACGAGCTGTATACGATTTTAACCAAGATGATTTTTTTACAGATCTCTATAGGCAGAGGAAAAAAGCGACTCCGTACAGTGAATGATATAAATTTCCATTAACCTGCGTACACAAAAGTGTCTCTCTCTCTCGTTGTCGCGCGGCATATCATCGTCTCCTCGAGCTGTATCGTTACTATCTCTCGTTTATATCATATCTCTCTGTCTTTCTGTCACTTCTCTCGGGGTTGATAACGACCAGCGCGCGAGCAACACACATTAACGATGATGACGAGCGCGGGCGGTGGGGACGCCACTCGTCGCTGCAGATAAGGTGTACCTGTGACGGCCGCCACAGCAGAGAAAAAGACGACACAAGCTGCGCCTCGGGCAGGATGTTCCCGCCTAGTGGATCCACAGCGAAGCTCGGGTGTTGTTGTCGTTCGCGCCGTAGAGACACTTTTCGTCGTTGAACAATAAAAAAAAAAAGGTACACGCACGTGCGTTGTTGGCTGAAAAAATTGCAACGACGCAATTCGTAACTCTGTAATAAGTTGTCGTGTAGAAAAAGTGGGGGTGTTCTTATCTCGATAGATCGAGTGTACCGATAGGTCATTTCTCGTCTCTCGTTATTATAATAGTAATATACGAGTCATTCGGAAAACCGATAATCGTTTGGTCTCTCATTTTTTTTTCGTTTCTTCGTCGCAGATTCCGTGTGCGGTGTTGACATATAAAAAAAAATCCAAGTGTAAAGTGTCAAGTATAAGCAAGTGCTGTGCAGTGAACAACAGAAGTAAATAAATAAATAAATAAATCCAAGTGCATCTCTCGTCTCGCACCGAGGAATCTTCGGCTTTGCGAGTAGACATCAATCGAAGTCATCATTAAGTCGACACAAGCCTCGAGCTGCGAGGCTGCGGCGGCCAACGACGAGCCCGGACAAGAAGGAGGCGATCGGCAGCAGCAACAACAAGAAGCAACGCAGCAGGTAGCTCGAACGCCAATGAAAATGCTCCAGTCCCTGAGCACGCTGGCGAACAAGATATCGCCGGGCTCGCCGACCACCGACGGCAACGCCAACAAGGTCCATCTGCACAACAACAACAACAACAATAACAACAACAACAACAACGATGGCGGCGGCTGCGTCGGCAACAAGAACGTCTCGCATCATCCGCATCCGTACTCGAAGAAGGCCGTCGTCGGCCTCCAGTCGGCCGTCGTGCACTCCTCCCAGAGCAACGGCAGCAACGGCGATCAGAAGGAAAATACGTGAGTTTGTCTTTTATCTATATACTACTTTCTATCAATAGATTCTCGAACGCTTATAGGTATAGGTATATATCTCCGACTCATATCCGGATGCATCGCGCCAGCTTCGAAGTAATGTCCCAGAGCATTTCGAAATACCACGTGTATACCGAGTGTGTGTGTCTGTGTGTGCCCACCGATATCAATTATTCGGATGTTTCCCCAGATAAGCATCGGTATAGGTATACGGCACACAGCTCTGTACTATATACGCGCAAGTGACATTTGAAAACAATCCAATATTTAAATGCCATTTCAGGCGCGCCGCGCGAGCTGCCGCTTCTCTCGACGACGACGACGACGCTCTCTCTCTCGCCTAGAGTAAATAACGTTCCATTCCGGAGACAAGCAGCAGAGCTCGTGTGGAATAGGTCTGAGCGCAGCTTTTGCTCTGTTGCTGCTGTTGCTGCTGTTGCACGGAGAAAATCTGCTGGAATGCAACTCTCTTGTGTGTGCGTACTGTGTGTAGATGGCTTTCAAAGCGCCGAACGGTACAGAGAGACGACCCCCGAATGAGAATAAAAGAAAAAAGAAAGAGAGAAAGGGAAAATTCCCCCGAGCTGCGCGTCGTCGTTCGGAGCTGGAGCGATCTGAAATTTTAACTCACGTGTATGTGTGTGCCCCTTTTACTTAAAACTTCGTTATCGTTTCTTTTCGATCGTTCATAATTTTTATATTATACGTACTGGCCGATCGATTTGTTCTCGATACGCATCTAAAAAATCATCGCTGAGTAGCGTGTAATCGCTGCGTTATGTATAATCAAGGCCGCACAAAAGTTTCGCGAAAGACTCCAGAAAGCAAAAACAAAATTTATCCTCCCCACTTGCACAGACAATTTCAGGCAAGTTCCGAGAGGGTAAACCACGGATAGCGGAACATTTCCCGCGCGCGTCGGAAATCGCACTCGAGTCCAGGGCCTCGAAATTTGGCTTAGCCTCGCTCGCTCTCGAGTTTCTTCATTATTTCGTTACGCCTCGTGAGCAAGCAGGAACACAGGGTCCAGAGAGATATGAATGGTGGTGGTAGTGGCCACAGCTCTCAGCTCGAGGCTAAGCATCCGAAACATCGTGCATGCAAATTTCGCCGCCACCACAGCAACCCAAGTTAAAGCGCGCGGCTTGTTTTTCCGAGGGATCAGCCGCGCCAAGTTTATAAGCGCAGAAAAATCATCGCTCACGAGTACGATAATAATAATAACGTACGCTATGCAAAATTCTCCCAAAGAAGAAGACTCGCGGTAGTAGTTTTATTGCAATTTTTGTGATGTTTGCGAGCAAAACAGCTTATCGCCGCAGCTCGTTCTCGTACTCGCGCGCCCGTCGATTGTGCCAATGATTATAAGCCTGGCTCTGATAATCGTGTACGCCTTTTATCGGAACTCGTATACCTGCTTCACTCGCGCAATTGTGCGCGAGGCAGTGAATTATCGAGTGATTCCACAAATTGACTAAAATCACATCAAAATAAATAATTGCGTTTGTTCAAACCGAACTGTTGCTTTTTTTTTATCATAGAAGCCACTCGCGCGAGTAGTTGATTTTTCGCTTCTCGATCAAGGTCGAATTAAGAGAGAGAGAGAGAGAGAGAGAGAGAGAGAGAGCTGTTACAGAGGCCTCTCGAAAATGTGGTGATTTTTTCCCCCTGCATACAACATATTGGCCGAGAGTCGAAAAATAAAAAATCAGTTTATCAGCGACGAGCGATTCTCGTGTCCGGCCGCGCGTCGATCGATCGATACACATACTATATTTTTATTATAAGCCCATATACATCGGGAGAATCGTGCGCGTACTCACCGCCGCTCGGTTCGGTGCTGTTATCTCTCTCGCGCGCGCGAGCGCAACGCGCAACTATATGTGTGTATATACGCAGATAACGAGGCATCACTCCACACACACACCTACAGGTCTATAAGCGCAGTTTTTCTCGTATATATGTACGCACCTTATCGAGTGTCATCGTCGCGCTTTTTCTCCAACTTTCCGCCGCCGCCACGAGCTGATTTTTCTCTCTTCTTCTTCGTCGTATACGCCACATCGGCGCTAAACAAATACACCCGATCGCGGCTTACTTATTTTTAGGATCGTTGTAAAAAAAATTGTAATTATTTTACGACCTTGCCGCGTTGGATTGATTTACGTACGTGTTTATGTATGCGTGTACGATGTACTCATCGTACAAGAGCGTGCGCGCGAGCGATAAGTTTTTATCAGATAATCGTGCGTAGTTCGATCGATAAATTCATTTGCTCGCGGCTTTAAATTTTAGTTTCTCGCGGTGGAAAAAAAAATAAGAAGAAGCGAATATTTATTACGTAAGAGTGTAATAATATACGTTTTCAGCGCGAGCAATCCATTAGCGATGCTGCTGCTGCTGCTGTCTTGTGCAGGTTCTGTATATATAGCAGCGGGTCTTTAAATATGAAGAAAGCCATATTCACACCTCGAGCTCTCCGTATAGTCTTTTCATCCGCTGCTGTCGTGTGCTGCAGCGTATATATACTTGTTTGGCCCGAGAGTTGGCTTTCAAAGAGGTTAAAGTAGTTGTTGGGCACAAAACAACCTTTCCTGTAATCTCCAAGTGGCGTGGCGGCGACGGCGCAAGGAAAGCCAAAGTCGCGCGCTCGTTATTCCACGGGACAAATCTTTTCAAAGCTACTATATATATACCTGCCAGGCGTAGAAACCAACTCTCTGTTTCTCCGCAGCTCAGGTCGATACAAAAGCTCGCTCGAGACGAGACGCGTCAAAAAAGAAAAAAAAAGAAGAGAAGAGAAATTCATAAATAAATAGATAGATCTTTTGAAAGACTCGTGCGCGAGAAAATTGAATGATATCGCCTTGACGAAGTACGCTGCAGCATACACAGACACTCTAAAAACTTGAGCAGCCGCGATGCAGAAGTTTTCGGGGAAGGACTAGGAAAAGTCTCTCTCTCTAAAACTCAACGTATGCGGCGTATACGTTGAAAAACACAAGGCGTGTGTATGTACGCAAAATGCGGCATAATCATAACATCCCTGAAAACTTTCGCGTCGGATATACATTATAACGTTTCGTATCTGCACACACACACACAAACTGTGCGCGCACCTCTCTGCAAAGGAAGCCCACTCGACGACGATGTTTTCAGTGTTCACGGAGCACGTACACTTACACGCGGCAGTAGTACAGCATTGGATATATACTGCTTGAGTCTTTTCTCCTCTCTCTCGCGCCATTGTCGGCTTCTGCTGCTGCTTTTGTCGTTATATTCGCACACGAATGTGGCAAATTGTATCGTCTTTTCCGGCGAACGTCTATTGCATACTTACGCACATCTAGTCCCTCTCTATATGTATCTACGTCCCCCCTTCGTTGTTGGATGTGGCCCCCCCAAAAACTGGGCAAAACGAAGAGTGTCTCTGTGTGTGTGCGCGTACGCGAGCTTTATTATGCAGGGCTAAAGGAGGCCAATTTTGCATTCAGAACGCGTGCGTGGCCTGTACGATTTTCGCGTGCGGCAACGTCACTACCAGCTGAGAGAGAAAGAGAGGCTTTTGCTATATACAGCTACTACTCGTTCTCTCCGTTGCCACTACTGTAGCCGCTACTGTGCAGCTGTTTTAAACGTAAGTCTTGTCCTGTAGCTGGAATTGGAGTGTCCCTCTCTCTCCGCTGCGAGAGATGGTCACACAACAGCCACGCGCATCTGTATTTTGATAACCAGCAGTAGTAGTCCCCATATGCCTCGCTCACAAAACGTGGCTTGAACGAGCAATTCGCTGTATCAAGTCGTATAGTCGCGAGCATACGTTTAAAGCGGAAAATCGTTATTCGCTTCTCTCTTGAAATTGTCGCGAATCAGTCGAGCGATTCATTTTATCGCGTTACACGAGGCGCGGCGCGTTAAAATGCTCCAAGTAGTTGGCCCTACCTCCGTGCTTACGCACGTCGTCCTGTATATATCGACAAGTTGCTCGTTGAAGCTCTCGCTCGGAGCGAAATTAGTTTGTCATTGCTGTAAGCTCGCGCGAGCTTTTCGCACGCACCGAGAACAAGAGAGATGCAGTAGTCAGACAGCTACAAAACTTGAGAGAGAGCAGTAGCGGCGTAAGTGTCTCGCGTCGTCTACTCGAACTTTCTCGATTTCTCTCTCTCACCGGCAAGAGTATGATTAAACGTACTTTTGTACTTTATTTACCCGACTGGATACATTTCCGCTATTGTAATTTACTCTTCCTGAGATCTCTTACTCTCTCTCTTTCTCTCTGAGACGAAGCGAACTTCTCAAAATTGCACTTTTACATCGTGTCGTTACGTTCGTTAAAGATAAACTATTTGCACGAGTGCGCGACGAGCTATTTCAATAAAATATCTACGTGTATAAGGCGCGCTACTCCCTTATACCTCTCGTTAAAGATTCGACCCAGTTTTCAACGAAATAAAATTAAAAATCGTCTTCGTCGTCGTCGTCATCTTCCGAGCAAGTAAAACACAAGTCTCGGGAAACGGAACGAAAGTGCCGGGCTCAGCAGCAGCACCAATTCTTGGGGAGGAGGAGTAGTAGAAGCTGCAAAAATCGCGTCTAATCAAGTGAATATCACCACCGAAAGAGAGCGAGACTTTCTCGGCTTCATTTTTTCACGCTGCACACAAAGTAGTACCCAGCCCCGACCCAACGAACAATCCAGTCTAACGACACAGCCGCAAGCTGCTTCTGGCAAATGTCACCTACTAATAAGGGATATAACCATCTCGACTGCTGGGATGTGCCTCTGCGTGGGAAGAAGAAAGAACATCTAGACGCGCGGGCGCGCAGTATTTCGAGCCCCCCCCCCCCTTTTTATGTGCACAATTTCGCAGTCTTGAGTTTTAGCATAAATGCACCACCGCCGCTACCGACGTAACCGATGCAAATTATCCGCACGGTTACGGTGGGAAAAAATAACGATTATAACCACGTAGCTGTTCTGTGTA